GGAAGATTACTAAGACTCTGGATAGGATCCCAGAGCGGGATGGAGCCCCTTAAATGGCTTGTGTGATGTGTTATCACTGGGGTAAGGGGGGTGAGGGGCTATAATATTATTTTATTAATTTATTATTAGATTCATAAAAGAATCTAATGCTGAGACGCAGATTTTTTTGTGCTAATCAGGCTGTGCTGAAGCTGAAACGGGCTGTTTGCTGCAAGGAGACAAATTGCTGGGAGGCAGAGGCAGATTTTTTTTCTTGTTTTCCTACCCCAAAAAGATAGGTGAGTCTTATAGTCCAGAGGGTCTTATACTCTGAAAAATAGTATATAGTATATTCCAATATTGCAGAGGGAAGAACATAACATCAAGCAGGAGAAAAAGCCTTCTGTTAGTAGGGTAATTCTAGCTGTGTAAAGTAGCTAGAAGCAATAACGATGTATCTATATTGGTGACAGAAAGGTTGGGGCCTTCATTAGATCTGGAATGGGATAATTTGCCATGGCCGACTTGCTTCAGCCAACTTGCCATGGCCAACACACCGCAGGATAATTCAGCAAGCACTAAAGTTAAATGAATTTTGATGGAACCATGGCCAATAATAATAAAATAAATTCAATCCAGAAATACAAGAGTTACCTTAATTTTGAAAAAAAAAATGGTCACCAATTATAACTGAATGAAACAATTAATATAGTGTTGAATAGTGTTGAATTATCCTCTGAATTCATCCTGTGGCAAATTGCTGTGGCAAGTTGGCCTATGATAGTTCTCATAGATGCTCCTAGATCTGCTTACCACTCTGTTTCTTTTAACTGTTGCTTCAGGGTTATTTCACCTGATAATATTTCATCTTACAGTAAGTACCAAGGAGGGAGAGTAATCTAGATTTTAAAAAATTAGATATAACAGCTTTGATCCATATGATTAAAAGTTGATTAAAGATCAAAAAGGTGATTAAAACTTTGATTTTTGAAAGTTGCAAATGGTAAGGCCAAACTTTTGGAATTAATTGTAAAGACTCCTTCCTGTGGGAAGATGTTTTTATTTTGAATTTGAAAAGAATATAATAGTTTAAAAATTAGGCACTAGAAGGTAGTAGAAAAAATGAAAGATAATAATTAAAGGAAAATAACATTCTATTTGAATGTCATTTCAATTTACAATTGCCAAATGAAGCAAAATATTTTAACATTGGACATATTGAAGAATATTTTTGAGCAATGATCCCAGAAATTAATTTTAATACTGTCTCCTCATATAGATAAACTGTGTGTAAAAGATATTATAGAAGAGTTACAAAGTATATCCAACAAGATCAAGATAGATTTAAAAATGATAAGTTACAAGAAATGCATGGAAAAAATTACTGGACATACAAAAGAAATTGATTGAAGTTTTAATAAATAAAAAGTATGTAAAACAACAAACCAACCTTATTTTTTTCTTTTCTATTTAGCTTTTTTCCTTTTGTATTTTTTGTAACGTTTACTCTTCATTCTTTTAGTTTGTCATATGTTTTGGTAATTATAATTCTCAATAAATTACTATAAAAAGGATTTGTCACATTTACAAGAGGCTTGTTCCTATTGTCCCTCTCCCACAGACATCTCTGCAAATGAAATAATTGTTAAACATTTATTTATCTTTTAACAAAACATGATAGTCTTAAGCTAATGTTGAAAAGGGACAAATGAAAGAAATTATTTCATCAAAATCTTTGTTCTTTCAAACAGTTTTTCATCTAAGGAAATGTATAACATTATGTCAAGAGGTTGAAATAGGATTAGGTGTAACATTCTGTTATCATTTAAAGATATCTATCAAGTTAATGTGCATGTTGCTTTTGCCCATAAAGAAACAAATATTGTAGTGTATATTTTCATTTAATTTGATCAGTTTGTTTACTGTACATTTTAGATAGCTGACATTAATTTTAAATTTTAAAAAAAACGGTTCTTCCCACCCCACATGACAGACATCATAAGACACATCCTAATGTATTTCTCAGGAAGAATATTTTTACATGTAACTGCCTCCCTACTAACAATGTCATAGAAAAATTTAGCTCCCACAACATTGGTTTCATTATTATAAAATATTGGTGGCCACAGGAACTGCCCAGAAGATGTAATTTTTTTAAAAAAAAAAAACCTCACTGCTGCATACATACGGTATATATAGTATCCTAGTATCTGCATTACAAAATTCAATTTAAAAACCTTATTCATTAACAGCTTGATACTGAAAATACTGTTAATATGACATCCAGGATTCTATAATTTTCCCAGATCACATAAATCTTAAGGAAAAACTGAGGAGCAGCGAACCATCTTACAGAAGTTAACACTTTATATGTTTCATCTGCTGCTAGTTACATGAAACAGATTTTTCACAGCACTTGACTTCCTGTAATGAACTTCCATTTTAACTTAAAATAAGAATCTATATTCCATTTTTGATGTCCTCATTACTTTTTTTTTAAAAAAAAGTCTAATATGGATATGTTTAGATTTTAGAAACTGAATATAGCTTCTTTAACCAAGACCTATCATCTATAAGTACTAGCTATTTTAGTAAAGACTTCTAGTCAAGAATTTTGTAAACAACATAATTTAAAACATGCATAATCTTTCAGGTGTGTTATTTCTTTTTAGAAAACTTCAAGTCCTATAATTAGGACTAGTTACCTCCCATATGGACTACTGTAATGCTCTCTACATGGGGCTCCCCTTGAAAAGCACCCGGAGGCTCCAACTGGTCCAGAACGTAGCCGCGCGGGTGATTATGGGCGCAGCTCGTTACGCCCATGTAACACCTCTCCTACGCGAGCTGCACTGGCTCCCGGTGGTCTTCCGGGTGCGATTCAAGGTGTTAGTTATCACCTTTAAAGCGCTCCATGGCTTAGGACCTGGGTACCTACGAGACCGTCTTTTGCCACCAATAGCCTCCCACCGACCAGTTCGTTCTCACAGGAAGGGACTACTCAGGGTACCGTCAGTCAAATTATGTCAACTGGCGACTCCCAGGGGGAGGGCCTTCTCTGTGGGGGCTCCAACCCTTTGGAATGAACTGCCCCCGGAGATACGGAATATCCCTGATCTCCGTGCTTTCCGCCATGCCCTCAAGACCCTGATGTTCCACAGGCGGGGCTAAACTTACGAACATGTGAATGATTTTTTAAATGTTATCTAATTCTGGGTTTTATTTAATTGACCAAACTAAGTAATAATTTTAATTAGCAATTTTATGATGTTTGTGTGTCTATATTTTTCTTGACTGTACACCGCCTTGAGTCCTATGGGAGAAAGGCGGTATAGAAATATAATAAATAAATAGATAAATAAATAATTATAAGGTGACATTATGGCAAAAGAAATGCATTGTTAAAGATGGAAAACGAAATCTATCTTGAATAATTCTTTCAATTTTAATAAACAGTTATTTATTTGCAGTACACTGGTATTTAACTTCTAAAGATAACTATTTTTTTAAAAAAAATAATGAATATGTATTCAATTCTTTTTTTTTTTTGCAGGAATTGTCAAAAAGAGAAATAACATTTGAATTATTGCTTCTGGAAGTTCAAAGATTTGATTCATGGATGCTTGATTGCTTGTTGGCATTTAGTGATCACACAGTGATTTATTTACAATCTTCTCTAAAAGCACTGATAAGAGCATTAAATATTATCAAAAACTATCCATGTCAAAAGTTTAGATTTCTTTCCCACATGCTACTTTTTCTAATCAGGTGCATCAAATGTGAAGTACATATCGTTGAAGAAAGACACACTTTCTTTCACTTTCAAATTGCAAAAACAAATGGCAACAACTCACTTGTGTTATTTTAAATCATCCTTTTTAAAATGCTCAACAATTATATTTTCTGTGGTACTTCTACCTTTGTTCCATTGTACAAATAAGCGCTACTAATAAAGCACAGATATAATCAAAACACCATATTTAGATAGTGGTATCTTATTTGTTTCAGTTGGTACATTTTCCAATATTAGGGAAAAACATTCAAGGTATTGAAATAATCCTGCTTAATTGGATGACTCAAGATAGGACTGATGTGTTCACAGTAAAAGACTGAAGATCATCAGAAGTTGGGCAAGATTAATCTTTTGGCATTTTCTAACCTATTCATCAAAGATATCTAGAATATGACATAGGATTTGAGGACATAGCTACAACTAGGAAATTATTTTTAAAATATTCCCTCCGTGTCACTGTGAATATCTTTTCTTTGTACCATTAATTTGTCCAATGATAATGATCAGATTTCTATGACTTTTGATGCTGATCCACAGAGGCAGGGAAGAGGGGCTTATAACTGTTATCATTTTACATAAATCACTGTATACAAGGTCAGATCAAGGATGTCACTCTACTACTGCTTCCAGCCTGCAGATAGCAGTGATAGTCCTCTCCTCGGCCTGATAATCTGGGCAGGGCACCATGCAAACTTGGCCAGAATGATACTTTATCTTTGAGTAATAGATCTTCACTTGACAATGATAGCAATAGCTGGAAGTGTTACATATTATTCAATTTCCTTTTGATTTGAGATTAGTAAATTGAAAGAGTGCTGCTTTCTCAGAGAAGTTCATAAACCCTTTCTCCCCTTCCTTTCTCCACCACTTTCTTCTGCATCCTTTGTTTCTCAGTCTCACTCTCAGAATGGAAACAGCATAGCACTTTCCTAGATTAGTTTAAAAAGAGCCAGGAATTCTGCTGAGAGTGCAAATTACAAAAATAATGGAGCTTGCGAGAGGAAGAGATGCTCCTTTTTTACTAAGGCAAGCTGCAGAAAGCAATGGCGGGATTCGTAAAGCTTCCCTCCCCCCTAAAATCACTACGGATATTTGGCTTCTAGAATGATTTCTACAAAATATAGTGTTACGGTGCAGCTTTTCTACTTTAGCAGAAGCTTTCTGAGCAGTGATATATAGGATGGTAGTTTACTTTTTAATCTGATTTTTATCTGATTTCTTTTTGTAGGAAAGGAAAAGAGGACTCATGAGACATATGCCTGAAATCACGAAGGAAATATTAAGCACTGGAAATACTTTCTTTTTCCGTTTCCTAAACCAAAATATTTTGTGAAATATTGTCTTTAAAAAGTCTGTTTATAATTTTCAGTAAAATACAGAACAATTCTAAATTATTGGGAAATAAATTTGTTTATTTCAGTGATTGAGCTACATGAAAATAGCAAGACAACAGCTAAGACAGTAAAGTAATGGTGTAATGAAAGAAGCAATATAAAACAGAGAATATTTTGTTGACAGGAATATTGGAAGTGGACTAAGGGATCAGTCCTGATGAAAATGGTGATATTTGAGTTGGCATGTAGGAGAAAATTAGTAGCCAAGAATCTCAATTTTTAGTTTCTTTGCTTGCACTGTGAGGAATGCATTAGTTGTATATCTGGGTGCCTCAAATTGATTGTCAGAACTTGGTTTGTATAATCTCTACTGGCCTGAAATTGTAAAAATGGGCTCTATAAAGTATTGGAGTCATGGGAATTGCAATGAAAAATTTCAGATTGCTTATACTGTATGTAGTCCCTACATTTTGTTTGTTGATTTCACAGTGGCTTCTGTAACTTTTCTATACTGTAACAGTCACTTTTCTGAAATGATATAGGGTTTCCTGCTTGAACAGGGGTTGAACTAGAAGACCTCCATGATCCCTTCCAACTCTATTACTCTCTATTCTGTATACAGCCCTGTCTGTCCCAGAAGTTAAACTGGAAAAAGTATTTTGAGAATTACAACTGATTTTAGCAATAGTGTTATTGTGAAGTTTTTGAAGTTTTTAAGAATAGGAGAAGCCTATTCTTGTTGGAATCATCTTCTCCCAAAGAATTATTCTCAATTGCAAGTAAAAAATTGATTTGAGATCAATAAAGGCTCTATATAGGACAGATAACTACGTGGGTTGTGTATGTATGTTTACTTCTGTTTGTCATATTCTCACCATACCCTAAATAAATAATAAATAATATGATAGATATATTTTTGTTGTGTTTTGTTTTTCAGTAAGATAACATAGGACCAAATCACTGTCCATTGTAAAACAAGGCAAAACCAGCTTGCTCATTACTACAAATTAATTCAGTCATTAACTATTCTTGTAATTTCCAATTCAGATAGCTAGCACCGAGTTAATTATGATATTTAGAAGGCTTATAGTACAACAGTTAGAGTGCAATGCCTTCAATCAGCTTTTTTAAAATATTGAGTCATTCTACAGCCAAGGGAATATGGTCTGTATAATACATACTCTGCAAGACAAGAAAGATACCAGAATGGAAACCCACAAGTTAGCTAGGATAATACGAGTGATTTTTGAAAACAATTGCTTTTCTTGTCATTCCTCTTCAAAGAAGGGCTTGATTGAAATAGTTTTGAAATATTTGTAGTTTAATTTTGATATTGATATGCCATCAAATCTTGACTGAATTTATTTAGTGAACTGAATGAAAAGTGATTGCCAATTGCAGTAATAGCTCCATAGCATGAATCACATGCAATATATTGGATGAAAGAAGTGCATTTGGAAATGTAGTATCAATAGCATTTTAGCACTACAAAATTCTGTGTAAAATTACTGCCAAAATATGGACTGCATGGTGGGTGACAAACTAAATTTTGGCAACTCATTTCTATTGGTATGGTTTTGATACATGAGAGACAGCAGGAGTTTGAAAAAAAATAACCTTACATATTTTATTTTGTGCTATCTCCTTGAGTAGTAATACTGTGATCTCCAGGTTTGGAAATGGCAGACTTGCATGTTGGAAATAATAAGATCATCCAAATTTTCACAATGCTGGTTGGTTTTTTTCCTAGATTGTTTTCATTATGGGGATATCAGATAATCTGGGTCAAAGTACCAAATATACTTCAAAGCATTTTTTTCTCAAAAAGATAACAGGCATTTTCAGACTTCCTTGATTTTTCTAATATTAATAAACTATTTAATGAAGAATTATTCATACATCTCAAAGGATGTTCACTTTTAAGTATTTAAATTAGGAAAATGCAGCACTTTAATTTTGTAAGAAAGTACAGAATAGAATTAAATTAGGAATTCATTGGGTTTGCTTCATTTTAAAACCAATTTTGGTATCTAAAATGAGTATAAAATTTGAACACAATAAGAGGCATTCACCATTCACCTTACCGATTTAAACAGTTAATCTATGAATACAATGTAGCTGGCACTCAAGACTGATGGACAGAAATCAGTAGAAAAGGAAATATTTTTAAATAATTGAGACCCGATGTTCTTGTTTTCACAATTATGCAGTTTTTAAAAATCTGGCAGAATGAGCATAGGCTCAAATCAGAAGGGATATAAAGTTGATATATTATTGCTTCCCTAGTCCTATATTTTACACAGAATATGGGGTGGGAGGAAATCTTATAGAAAGCATTGAGATGGACGATCAGAGCAAGAGAGGGAGAAGGGGCGTTGGTCCTACCTGATACGCCCCTTCTCATTGAGTGGAGACAGCAACCAGACGTGGGTTGTGCTCATTGGTCAGATGTGGGACTGAGCCTGTCAAAGTCTTCTTAAATTCCGCCCTTGTTGCTAGGGTTCCCAGCTTTTGTCAAAGGAGGAAGACAGACTCAGAGTGTGGAATGAGAAACAGAAAGCCCTGTGAGATAAACAATAACAACCTAGTGACCAGACTGCAGAAAGAGGGTGGGGCTGGCTGCTATCTCCACTCAACGAGTAAGGAGCGGGAGAACGGCTGTAAGGAGCTCTCCCAAAAGCAAATTAGGTTTTCTTTTTTAACGTTTTAAAGTATTTTTATATTTTTAACTCACTTTTAATCTATTTTTAATCTATACCGGACTCTTACAAAGCACATACAGTGTGGCTACTGTTTGTTTTAGACATATTTTAACAATACTACAACCTGCATTCCTGGCCTAGGCTATTCCTGTGACTCCTCCTTGCAAGGCCTGAAATTCGGATTACCGGACTTATTGACAAACCTCACTGGAGGCCCCTAACTTTGGAGGGGATTTTGAGCTGTTTGTTTTTGGAACGAGTACAGTAAGGAACTGGCTGCAGATGCTCCCGGTAGGCCTGCCTTTAATGAAACCTTATCAGCTTTTTAGTCTCCTTCCCCCACATATTTCCCTGTGAAATAATTTAAACAATTTAAACATTTCTGAAAATAGATATAGCAAAGAAGTAGGAGTAAAAGACAAGCCGTTGTTTGGAAAGGAGATTGGTTTTTACCTCTGTGTTGCCTCGGCTGAGACCATCATTAAGGCCTACCTTAACTACGATTGCCGAGGGAGGATAAATTATTGCGATATTTAATTTCACTGGGAGATACTGGATCAACTATCTACCAGAATGGGAAAGAAAAGTAAGAGGCAGAGAGCTTGCTCTCTCTCCCCAAAATCTATGACAGAACTTAATTACTCCAAGCCTCTTAAACAGCTTAAATTGGATGACTTTATGGAGAGGTGTAATCCAGAACCCCAATCTGAACTTCGAACTTTGTCTCTGTCGACTGTATCATTGTGAGAGGGAGATACAGATGGGGAGTTTTCTTCCCGGATTTCAGATTCAAACTCGCCTGCTAGAATGGGTGATTTTTCAAGCTCTATCCCCTCCCCTACTTCTAGCTGCTTAAAAGAAGTTCCGACATATTCAGACCTCAGAGAGATGGTCTGTACTCAGAGTATGTTAACTGCGCACACAGTAGATTCAATATATGACTTACTGACATCGATCAAAAGAGACATCGAGAGGATCTTACAATTCTTAAATGGCCCTCACTCTGCAGCTAAGGAGGGTGAGATTGCACACCGTCCTGACACGCGGAGAGAGTGGGAGGGTGTAAGACCTCAACCCAAACAACAAAGCATTGCAAGTACTGATGCTAACCCTCATCAAGGAAGAAGGTTGTTAAAGAAACAAATCGCTTTAAGGATAAGGAAAATCCCATGCAATAGAGGACGATGGACTTCAAAGGAAAGGATAACCCTCTCACTTGCACAGCTATTGAAATCTGATCCTTTATTAATAGATCTACTCAGATATGAAAAACTTCCCCAGCATAGCAATTGTGTTCGACTAATACTGCATTTTGACAGCAATACTATACCGAACGCTGTAATGAAAAGAAAAGGATCCCTGCTCAGATTTGAAGTCATTCCTACAAGAGTCTTCTCGAGTGGGCCTATTAAACCGCTTTTACAAGGACTTAACCAAACATCAAAAATGGTACCTAGGAACCACTCTGCTACCTCCAGGGTCTTTCTTCCAGAATCCGGAGAAACTATGGAGGCAGGCCAGATCAGGGAGGTCCCACATATGAAGGCAAGCACCGACAAACCAGAGGATGTTATAATCAGCGAATTTGTCTCCTTGTCTCCAAAGGAGCAAAGGTCGATGTTAATTGAATTTGATTTATTAAGATCTTCGCTAGCAGAAGCCTGTAGTTCAACGAGAAGGCTATCCAAGTTGGAAGAACGGGGAAAGCATGTGCAGACAAGGCCTAAAGTCATTAAGTCCGTCCAGCGGGGTAGAAGGGAAGGCAAAAGTCTTTTCAAAGAAACAAAGACCATGAACGTAGCGGCAGAAGTTCACCCTCCCCCAACAGTGCAACTGCCCTCACCTGTCTCATCTTCCTTAAGAACGGAGGAGGCACTTCCGCAACAAACAGAGGCCACTTTTGACTCCTTTGGCACTCCAGAGAAGGCGGTGGTAGTAATTCCGGACCCCTCCACCAGAAGGGTGGAGGAAGAGACACAAGGAGTAGTGCCTCGGGGTGATTGACTAGACAACAAATGGCCAACAACTAGGGTACCTTATATCCCCAGCCTTTCCCTCCTGTCCTGGAATATAGCGGGCTGGAAAGGCATTGCAAACCGGATGGATTTTATAAAATTGATTTCAACACATCATCTCATCCTCCTTCAAGAAACCTGGCTGACTACTAATGATCCACAGATCAGCTTACCGGGTTTTGCCTCATGGCATAAACCGGCAGGCAAAGTCAATTTAAGAGGGAGGGCAATTGGGAGCTTAACCACGTTGGTCAAAAGGGATACGGGATGGAAGGGTGAAGAAATTTCTTTAGATCCTCAATTCCAATATATTCTGCCTATTAGATGTACGTTCAGGGGGATGGACTTAATTTTAATTAATGTATATATCGCTCCATTTTCATTCCACCTTCTAGGAAGGGATTTGTGAGATGAATTAGATTCAGTATTAGCTACCTTAAAGGGACGCTTTCCCCAAGCAAAAATTATATTAGCTGGAGATACTAATGCAAGACTAGGTCCCTCAATGAAGAGCTATGCTAACCGAGGCCTGGTACCAACTGGTTACTTTTATAATGAGTTCACTTGGTCCTCAATGGACAAGAGGACCAATAAATATGCCCAGAGGTTAATTTCCCTGCTGTTTATGAATGATATGCAAGTACTTAGTGGCTCGAGTGATGGGTATATATATCCCTATACTTTCTCGTCCAACAAAACCTCAACCTCTATCGATTATATCTGCACTTCCTCTAGTTTAGTACACCATTTTTCAGAAGTAAGAGCTATATTTAGAGAGGAAAGTGACCACTTTCCCATCACAGCTCTGGTTTCACTCTCTTCAGAAGTTAGGCCTCATTCAAGAGAGGAAATTGACACCTTAGCAAATGCCCGGGTTTATAACTATAAAAGGTTATATTGGCACAGACTTGATGTCAAATCTGTCACCACTTATTTGGGCTCAGACGAAACCAGACACCTAGCAAGGGAAATCTCCCAATCTAAGCCCGGAGACAACACCCCAATGTCAGTTTATACAGAGCTAACTTCTACCCTTAGGAACTTAATGATCCAGAACGATAGAAAAGTAGATGGGATCTCTAGAAAGTGGTTTGATGATGATTGCCATAACTTGAGGTCAAATCTAAGAGCCGCAGTTAAGAAAGTTAACCGATCCAGACAGGATGGTGATTATTCAAATATGGTTCAACTCAGGAGAGCATACAAATCCCTACTGAAAAACAAGAAAAGTAGCTATAACACCAGGATGTGGAAAGAGGTAGAAATGGCAGCGAAATCCCAATTCCCTACGATCTTTTGGCATAAGATAGCCAGTATATTAAAACAACGTTCCCCATTTATGGACACTGATATATCAGCAGTAAAATGGGAGAAGCACTATCTTGCTTTATTTGATGATAACAATACAACAAATGTCTTGCAATTGGATATCCTCCAGCAAGAATTAAGGAAATGTCCGGAATGGACACCAGTTACCCCTACCAAAGTTAAGCATATAATTCAATTCTTAAAGGCTGGGAAGGCCCCTGGAGAGGACTTGTTGCCTCCTGAACTCTTTAGGTCCAACATTGACTTTAGGTCCAACGGTGCTGGTAGCACTGTTACTTATATTGATAAAGTAGGGATAATCCCTGAAGGGTGGAGGTTAGCTATAGTTTTTCCAATTT